TTCAGGTGTTCCACATCTGTCAGGCAGGAGGCAGGATCGACTCGTTCCTTTGTCCCAACGGCACAGTGTTTAATCAGCAATACTTCGTGTGCGATTGGTGGTACAACTTTGACTGTTCCACGGCTGAACAGTTCTACGGATTGAATGCTGAGCTTGGAAATATCAACGGAAATGGGTACACTATGGCAACGGTTACTTCAACGGTAATGGAAATGGTTACAGTAATGGCAATGGTACGGAAATGATATACCAACGGTAATGGTAACGGAAATGGATACACCAACGGCAACGGAAATGGATACACAATGGTAACGGAAATGGATACACAATGGTAACGGAAATGGTACACCAACGGTAATAACGGAAATGGATACACCAACGGTATGTAACGGAAATGGATATACCAACGGCAATGGAAATGGATACACCAACGGCAACGGAAGTGGATACAAAGGCAACGTAATGGAAATGTTATGGATACACCAACGGCAATGGAAATGGTAATGGATATACCAACGGTAACGGCAACGGATACTCCAACGGTAATGGATACAGCAGCAAAAATGGAAATGGGTATACTAACGGTAACGGAAACGGATACTACAACGGTAATGGTAAACGAAACAGAAATGGAAATGGAGTTACCAACGGAAATGGTCATAGAAATAGATACAACAACGGGAATGGATATACCAACGGCAATGGTAATAGAAATGGTTACTCCAACGGCAATGGAAACGGTTATTACTATGTTCCTCCTAATGGTAACGGCAATGGTCTCATCAGAAGGAATGGAAATGGGAACGGCTACACTAACGGAAATGATCTTATCAATGGAAATGGCAAAATCAATGGTAACGTAATAAATGGATTATATCAGACGCCGAGTCTCTAAACTCTAAATGTAATTTTTATTCTCTCGTTTTTATCTATCAAGATAATGCTTATGGAACATCAAAAACGAAATGTTTTACGAAGATATATACATTATATCTTACATGATTGCATTTGTCGTTGGCAAACACTGTCTTCGTCATATGTTTGAATCGAAAATAATGAAAAAAAACAAACAAAAACGTGTATGGACTTTACAACCATTATGAATTTCCCTTGTAATCCTAAGGCCTAAAAGCTAAAATGTTTCACAATCAGCGGTCAATGAAATTATCTCCAACCACATATGCTAGAACGGATTCTTGTACAACTGGTTGAATGGACATAGCTATGACTAAGATTGTGTGTGTGGTGCATACATAATATATATATATATATATATATATATATATATATAATATATATATAGCCTATATATAGCAAAACATATATGAATATATACATACATACATACATACATATATATATATATATATATATATATATATATATATATATATATATATATATATATATATATATATATATATATATTATGTTAGAACGGATTTGTAAAACTGGTTGAATAGACATAGCTGAAGACTATGACTAAGATTGTGTGTGTGTGTGTGCATACATAATGCATATATAATATATATATATATATATATATATATATATATATATATATATATATATATATATATAATATATATATGTGTGTAAGTGTGTGTGTGTGTGTGTGTGTGTGTGTGTGTGTGTGTGTGTGTGTGTGTGTGTGTGTGTGTGTGTAGTGTGGAGTATATATATATATATATATATATATATATATATATATATATATATATACATTTGCATTATATATACATAATTTATACATACACACATCACACACACACATACACACACATATAATATATATATATATATATATATATATATATATATATATATATAATATATATATATATATATATTATATATATATATATATATACACATATATATTTACATGCACACACACATACACACATTCTCATAACATTTTCTTTTATTTAATTTGCTTCGAAAATGTACACCATCCCAAGATAATGTAACTGATAAGATAAGTCGACCCTTGAGCAGCTAGTTTGGTGTACGATCAGTCTGACACAACCAGACGGTTTGTGCTGAACGTCCAACCGTGCTGAGTCAGAGAAAGGGAAGTTGCAGTGAAGACATTGTTGTGTGTGTGTGATTTGTGAAACTGATATTCAATACGATTTCTGCAAGTGACGAACCGTGAAAATGTATATGATCTCTTGAGACACGAAGTCTATACTCTCCTCCTTTCATGCTTTAATGTATTCATAGTAATAATGAATAGATGAACTGTAATAACGTGCATGTCGGAAAAATAGAAGAGAAGGGTAAATTGTCTATCTCTCTATTATCAGTAAAATAACCTCGAAAGTTAAAGTGACATGTGTGCAGATGATAAGCGAAGATCTTAGTAAGATTCCATTCCCAAAATAAAGTCCACTTGATCAAGTGTGATAAAGAAGTAAAAAAAAAAAAAAACGTTCACGGACAGAACAACAAACTATTAAGAATGGAAATTGATACCGAATCTGCGAAAGGTGACAACGGCCTCATGGTAACCAGCAGAAGCAAAGAGAACTATGATAGTGAAACTAGTGGTCAGCATGATTCTACAGATATTAAGAAACACCGCGCTGACTCCCTTGATGAAGAAATAGATACCGTAAAGAACGTTGGCGATATGGATGACGGAAGAGATACGAAAGACCACGTTAATACGACACAAAATCATAATGGAACTCTAGCTAATTCTAAAAGTCCAATTGAAACGAATATCAGTAGTAATAAATCCTCTCACCTGAAGAAGGTAGCCAAATCGGCAACACCTAATCCCTCTATTATAAAGAAACCGCCTGATGGAGGTTGGGGCTGGTTGGTGGCTTTTGGCAGCTTCATCATCACGGTAATCTCATGACGGTTTCTGAAAAGGCAAACTAAACAGACTTTGGTAATACTTGTAGATAGCTTAATTGAACTCCCAGGTTGCTAATTGAAAAGCAAACTGATTACATTAATCGATATTCCTGTGTATATACATTATATCAACCTCACACATGCCATACAAAAAAGACTTTCCATTTTTAAAAAGATAAACACATATTTCTTTATCAATAGACGCTGGTCTTCTCCCTGGCCGTCTGTTTCGGCATCCTCTTCTCTCCCTTCTTCCTGGATCTTGGCACGTCCTCCACCACCATTGCCTGGATCTTCAATGTCCAAATGTTTATCTGGAATTTCCTAAGTCCCTTCGTTCGACCTGCTGCCCAGGAGTTCGGCTGGAGAAGAATTGGTTTCACGGGCGTGTTCTTTGTCTCTTCGTCGGTCGTCTGCTCTGCATTCGCACCTTCGGCTGAGTTTCTCTTCTTCTCCTTCTCTCTTCTTAGCGGTAAGGAACACGGGGATTTTCGTTCTTGTACTTTCTTGCACTTTTCTAGACCTTGGTATCAGTATTTTCGTGTGTATTTGTGTTTGAATGTTGTGTGTGTTTTTGAATGTGTGTGTGTGTGTGTGTGTTTGATTGTGTGTGTGTGTGTGTTTTAATGTGTGTGTGTGCCTGTGTGTTTGAATGTGTGTGTGTGTTTCAGTGTGTGTGTATGTGTTTGAATGTGTGTATGTGTGTGGGATGCTGTATCAACGAAAGTAATTTCATGAATACCTTTTTTCTCTCTCTTAGGCATTGGGTCATGCCTGGCAGGAGGACTATGCTTCCTCGTCGTGCCCACCTACTTCGACCGACGCCGAGGAACAGCAAATGCAATGTTGATGTCAGGAATATGCATGGGGCAGATAATGGGCGCTCCGTTTATCCGCTATCTGCAGGAGGAATATGCCTTCACGGGAGCTGCGTTGATATATGGTGCTATCATCCTAAACTGTTGCATTGGCGTGTCCTTCTTTCAGCCTCTTAAATGGCACTTGAAGGAAACAACAGTCACAGAAAATGGTGTACCTGAGGACGGTTCACTTCCCCTTCTAACAAAAGCAGAGAACACAGAAAAGAATTCCGTGGAAGAAGCAGGAGCCAAAGTTCTAACACAGGACATGAGAACCCAAGCAAGCATCGTGAGATCGAGAATGCTAGAGAGGGTCAGCGAGACGTCCCACGTTTCAAAAACTTCGGATAACATGTCCCAGCTGTACGTCTCATTGATGGAGATCCCCGATTTGGCAAATTCAGCAGAGACCGTTGCCAAGGACGGTAAATCCTCTCATCTCTGGGAACTCACTAAGCGCGTCTGTCGGTCTACACTAAACGACCTCCGGATCTACCACTCACGGAGAGCTCTGATCATCAACCTCGGAATCGGACTTTGCATCAACAGCTACATCAATTTCATCATGATGGTTCCCTTCATGATGCAGGCGAATGGATTCACTTTGCAGGACTCGGCTTGGTGCATATCGATCTTCGGAATTTGCAACTTGGTGACTCGCCTGTTTGTGTCTCCACTGACTGACTGGCCGAAGTTCAACATGCGTCTGTGTTTCATGATGGGCTATGCCATCATATCCCTTACGATGTTTGGTAAGAATATAAGTGGCATTTTTTCTGACATAATGTGTTCTGTGGTATTTGTAATTGTGAGCAGACCACTGAAAATGTCGACAAGAACATCAGACGTAGCGTTTCTCTCAGCCATTTATGATAATGTAGATATACCCCGCTCCCTTTTCTCTCTCTCTCTCTCTCTCTATCTATCTATCTATCTATCTATCTCTCTATCTGTCTATTCATCTCTCTCTCTCTCTCTCTCTCTCTCTCTCTCTCTCTCTCTCTCTCTCTCTCTCTCTCTCTCTCTCTCTCTCTCTCTCTCTCTCTCTCTCGCTCGCTCTTGCTCTCCACACACACGCGCACGTACACATAATGTCCTAGCTCTCGTTACCTATACTAACCACTCTCATCTATGAAAATCAACCATAGCAATCCCATCTACATAACTCTAACCACAGCTACCCTTCCCCCACCACAGTTTTCCCACTACTAACCAGCCTCCTGTGGATGGGGGTAGTCATGGGGGTCGCAGGGTGTGGAATCGCCGCCAACATCACTCTCAACAACCTCATTATGATCAAGTACATGGGCCTGGAAAAGCTGCCTCAGATGTTTGGCTCGTCGGCGCTTCTGATCGGGTGCACGTTCATCCTGTTCGGGCCTTTTATTGGTGAGTTAAAGGACGTTGTTTGCCTTGTATTGTAGATGCTTTCGGGTTACATTCTTCTGTCTTTATGTACTGTATATTTATAGGCTCGAGCACGCACGCACGCAAATACACAGACACACACACATACACACACACACACACACACAACACACGCACACACGCACACACGCAACACACACACACACACACACACACACACACACACACACACACACACAACACACACACACACACACACACACACATACACACACACACACACACACACACACACACACACACACACCACACACACACACACATACACACACACATACACACACACACACACGCAATCACAATCAATACAATATATATATACATATATATATATATATATATATATATATATATATATATATATATATATATATATATATATATTATATATATTACACTTCAAACTTAGAAGTCCTAATAATAATGTTATTGAAAAGTGTCCATTACATATCTTGATCTCTGAAGGTAGTTATTCTCACTTATATATCATTTTACACACACACACTCATATGCACACACGCAAAATCGTCGGCATTTACACATTTACGACATCAAATTCTCCATCTACAGGCTTTGTGCGCGACATGACCGAGAGTTACGTCATCAGCACGTGGATCCTTGCCTCTACGTCGACCGGCAGCCTCGTTCTGTGGTTCTTCATGCCCGCCGCTGTGGCCTACGACGCAAGGATGGAAGCCAAGAGGAACAGGGAGAAAGAACACGTCTGATATCTTCTGTTCTGTCATTTCTTTCGCTTTGCCATGAGTTGAAAAGAATCAAGATTGTTTTTTTTATTATTATTATTTGCGTTTTGATCTTGCAATTGCAGAAAATGAAATGATAGGAGACGGTGAAGAAACCATGTTTTATTTCATTGAAAATGAAGTGATACGAGACGATGAAGATGCACCGTTTTCTTTCCCTGAAAAGTTATACTTACAGATTAAATACAGTTTGAATATCATTACCCTTTATGAAATTCTTTATTACATCATGTCATTAGTTATATTACAGTCCTTATATTATAACTTTCTCTTATGGTACTGATACAATTATCTCATCAAAATAATATTAATAACATGATATCATGCATTTTATTTTGAATAAGTCTGTACAAAATTGGATTATGATAATTACAATCATTACAGGTACAAAGGATAGCTGACTTAACTTGCTTAAAATATCAAGAACGTAATATTTCTTTCGTAAATTTACGTAGAGGTGGAATAATATTATTATTGTAATAGATTTATAATTATTTCTAGAGATGACATTCCATTGCCTTAAACAAGCTATGTTATTTTTCAGCACTAGAAAGACCGTTGGGAAATGTGGCCACATAGAACATAACGGCACTTGAAAAAAAAAATCTAAATATCATCACAAAACACGAAGGACTGACAATAATGATAACATGTGTGTTTGTGTGTTACATATGTATATATATATATATATATATATATATTAATATATATATATATATATATTATATATATATATACATACATACATATATATAATATATATATATATATATATATATATATATATATATATTATAATATATATATATATTATTGTGTGTGTGTGTGTGTTTGCGTGTGTGCGTATGTATATGTGTATATATATATACATATATATATATATATATATATATATATATATATATATATATATATATATATATATATATATATATATATATATATATATATATATACATATACATATATATATATATATATATACATATACATATATATATACTTATATATGCATACATATATTATATAATATATATATATATATATATATAATATATATATATATATATATATATAATTATATATACGAGCTAGATCTGAATCAGGTCTCAGGAAAAGGGTCAAGGTCGAAGAGTCTGAGAAAAGCTTTCCTAACTAACGATAAGGTAAGACCATCCAACCCCCATTGGCCAGCACTCAAGTTAAAATTGGGTAATTTACTAATTAGCAGGGCTTCAGGCATTTTTCTCTCATACGAATTTGACGATCTATGAATTAATTTAGCGTCTTTCCAATTTCACTGATGTCTTTCGTCACGTAAATGAATCAAACAAGTATTAAATTCTCTGGAGTATCTAACATCACGTCTATGCTCTATATATATATATATATATATATATATATATATATATATATATATATATATATATATATATATATATATATATATATATATATATATATATATATATTATTTTTTTTATTTTTTTTTTTTATTATATATATATTTTTTTTTTTTTTTTTCAAAAGATCTGCCGAATACGCCCATGTAAAATTTCGGGCAGTCTTCACAAGGAATCGTGTAAATACCTGGCGAGGTATCAAAGGCACCGTTGGCTGCATTATGCCTAACCAAAGTATTACGTAATGTATAGATTCGAAAGAACCGGGTTAAGGTTACTTCCCATCGCGATACACACACGCACACACGCACGCACACACACACCACACTCACTCACGCACAACACATGCGCACACACACACACGTGCACGCACGCACATACACACACACACACACACACACACAACACTACTCACACAACGCACACACACACACAGACACACACACACACACACACACAACACAGACACACACACACACAACACACACACACACACACACACACACACACACACACACACACACACACAACACACACACACACACATATATATATATATATATATATATATATATATATATATATATATATATATATATATATATTATATATATATATATATATATATGTATGTATGTATGTATGTATGTATGTATGTATATACATATATATACATATATACTGACATACATATATACATATATGTATGTATGTGTGAATGCATACATTTATATAATCTGAAGTATTTTAGAGTGTCCTTAACTTGATACTAAAAGTGATATATATTCAGTAATATTGAAGGTGACTCTGGTCACCACTTTATCATGTCATCAACTTGGGTTTTTGATATTGTAGTAGACTTATCTGTTATACGAGTCTGTTGGCTTTCAAGCAATGTGATTTAGCATTTTTTTAAACAGTTGAAAAAGGCATCTCGGGATTTATTTACAAACGGAACTATCCTAAACCTATTACCAAATAAGGAATAATGAAAATAACATTAGTACTGTAGATTAAAATGTAGATTTATTTAGCTGTTATACCTCTCAGAGGTTCTCTCCTACGTTTTCTTAAACAAAATATAGAGAATGCTTACATAGAAAATCTTTAAGGGGGACTTTAATAAAACAAAAGTCACTGCGGAACTATAATGATACGACTAATATTGGACATAAAACATTTATTACAATAAAACTAATATTCGAACTGTTCTACATACATATCGCTATACATTATGTAGTATAAGGATATCCGAAGAGAATTGTTAAACAGTTCACTTGTCACCTGCTGGTCAAACTGTAACATCTAACATTTACTAAATATATATAATTATTGAACACAGTTTTTTATATATAAAAATAGCCATGACTTATTACCGAAAGACAAGCTAAATACCTGACGATTGAATACAAACATGTTTATAAATATTTTGTGTCTATGAATATTTGTATCAGCAACAGGCTTAATAATTGCCATCGTTGTTGTTGCTCTTGTTATCATTGTTATAATCATCCTCAATGGCGTTGCTGTTATTATCGATATCGATATTATTATTATTATCATTATTTGTAGTAGTAGCAGTAGTAGTAGTGATAGCAGTGGTAGTATTAATAGAAGTAGTAGTAGTAGCAGTAGTAGTAGCAATGGTACTGGTGGCGGTGGTAAGTAGTAGCAGCAGTGATAGTCATAGTAGTAGTAGCATACTAGTAGCTGTAAGAGTAGCAGAAATTCTTTTTTCGTTTTTAAATTCGTTGGTCATTATTATGACCATCATTATCTTTACTGCTATGTTACTGCTAAACTTAACTTTATTGTTATTACTACCATCACCACCGCCACCAACTTATACTACTATTGTTTCTATTGGTTCTATTCTACCACTACTACTATTATTACTAGTACAGATAACATGTCTACTGTTACTACTACTACTACTACTACTTTTACTACTATCATCATTGTTGTCTTTTGTTGTTGTTTTTCTTTAGTTTACTTTGCTTTTTCTTTATGCATTAAGATAATTGCGTAGTGTGGCTTGTTTGGTCTGGCAGCGATGCTTATCATTTTCCATTCTCAGTCTTTAGTGAAATTAAGTAATTTTACAGTGCAATTTGAGAGATCTGGAAGGTTACCATAAAAACATGATTATTGATAACAATGATAAGATAGTGATAGGAACTACATAACTTTTCTTCTTTATTTTTGATAAGAATGGTATAGTTTATTACAACAATAATTCTGACTATTTGCGAAGGTTTGATGATGACAGTCATCGAAATTAATATGAAAAGATGAATTAATTATCGTAATTTTATCACATGTGACATTTTTTTCCTGAAATTATAAATTAATTGTTTTCACTGATGGAACTGAACCTTTCTTTCGAAATGAAATGTGAAATCAATTTTTTCGTTTAATTGAAAGTGAATGTGATTATGAAATATATGAAATTTCATGAAAGAGTTGATAGCGGTAAAAAAATGGATTTGTGATAAAATCTTGAACGATGGAAGATCAAGATTCAGATTTCACAAGATAGCGAAGAAAACACTATTGTTTTTCTACAAAATAAAGAACAAATCTGATCTTCGTTCTTTAAAGTTGGTGACAAAACGAACTTTGAAAATCAATAAGATTCGGAAAATATCAAACGCTTTCTTTTTCTCTGTTCATTTTGGCTTCCATTTTGGCGTCATGGGCCATAGCGGCGGGCATGAAGAACCACAGAATGAGGCTGCAGGCTGACATGCTTGCCAGGAGCCACATGCTGAAGGTGTAGCTCTCGGTCATGTCACGTACAAAACCTGTAAATAGAGGTGTTTATGTAGTGATTCATTTTAAAACGTAATTTTCTCTGTCTCCCAATCTCTCTCTCTCTATCTATCCATCTATCTATCTATCTATCTATCTATCTATCTATCTCTTTCTCTCTCTCTCTCTCTCTCTCTCTCTCTCTCTCTCTCTCTCTCTCTCTCTATCTCTCTCTCTCTCTCTCTCTCTCTCTCTCTCTCTCTCACTCTTTCAACTTATCTAATTTAATTTATAAGATGAACCTTAAATAAAAAAAAAAATCGTATATACATTCATATAAAAAAGGAGAAAACTGTGAATTATCAAACAGCAATAGATTACCTATAATCTCTTTTTTCTGAAATTATTCCCATTAATTAGGGTTGCTTGTTTGCATTTTTTTCATATGCCCATGCTTAAATCCATGGCAGGATTGGCGACTATACTTAGATGTCCATCCTGTTTACAAACCTGGTACTGGTAACTTAGCAATCCATTCTCAATGCCACACACTGCAAGACTATCAGTACCACTTACCGATGAAAGGTCCAAAGGCTATGAAGGTTCCGCTGAGTAAGAGACAAGAAGCACCAAAGAGGGGAGGAAGGTTCTCTATACCCATGTACTGTATCATGATGAGACTGTTGAAGGTGATGTTGGCTGCGATGCCACACCCAGTAGCGGCCATGGTGACTGCCATCCATGGAAGGCTAGTCAGCAGGGGGAAAACTGAAGTGAAAAGAAACTCATGTTTGTTGGGGGATAACCTTGAAAGGATTTGTTGTTCATGTCAATGTTATGGATCGTTTGGATTTAAAGAAGGGCAGTGAGTGGTCAAGGTGAATCTGGTCTTAGGGAAATATGGAGAATTAAACGTTTGTCTAGGTAATTTATCTATCTTTTCTTCTTCTCTCTCATTATCTGCTTAAATGTACATAATTTCTTAGATTAAGATTAAATGTACATCGAGTTGTTTTGCCAACGAAAATAAAGTGCACTTATAAAACATCGAACCTATCTTACCATACATCGAGCATGCCATGATAGCATAGCCGATCATGAAACACAGGCGCATGTTGAACTTTGACCAGTCTGCGAGCGGTGACACGATCAGCCGGGTCACCAAGTTGCAGAAGCCCAGGATCGACACACACCAAGCCGAATCCTGCAGAGTGAAGCCTTCCTGCTGCATCTTAAACGGGACCATCATGATGAAGTTGATGTAGCTGTTAATGCACAAAGCTATCCCTGTGTTAATGATCAGCGCCCTTCGCGAGCGGAATACGCGCAGATCGGACAACGTTGAGACACAGACGCGCTTCAAGACTTCCCACAGACTAGAGGACCTCTCTTTCGCCTCGATCTCCTCGGCCAAATCGACCACTTCGGGAATCCCTGTCATGGACACGAACAGCGCCGAAGTTGCCGAATCTCGCGACGTGTGGGAGGTACAAGACGTCTCGCTTATCCGCGCCAACGTCCTCGCTCTGACCATCTTCGCCTGAGTTTTCATCTCCTCCGTCAAGACATTCGGGACTGACTCTTCCTCCGGCTTCTTGGCAGCGGATATAAGGGGGACAGATCCGTCCTCCGGAACAACGTCTTCCGTGGCTTTCGTTTCCTTCAAGTGCCATTTAAGAGGCTGGAAGAAAGAGATGCCAATTAAACCGTTCAAGAGGATGGCACCGTATATCAAGGCTGCTCCCGTGAAGGCATATTCGTCCTGCAGATAACGGATGAACGGAGCTCCCATGATCTGCCCCATGCAAATCCCTGACGTCAGCATGGTATTTGCTATCCCTCGCCGTCGCTCAAAGTAGGTTGGTACAATCAGGAAACATATGCTGCCGGTCAGACCTCCGCCTATCCCTGAAATGATATGATATAAGGCTGAATAAAATATGATGTGGTATATTAGAAGGTTGGTAACTTTTAGCTAGTGTTGTGTGTGTGCGTGTGTGTGTGTGTGTGCAGACAAATATAACCTGATGGAAATCGTGAATCGGCCTCACCGCTCAGAAGAGAGAAAGAGAAGAAGAGGAACTCAGCCGACGGGGCGAAGGCAGAGAGCATGATGGAGGTGGAGACGAGTAGCACCCCGATGAACCCGGATCTCCTCCAGCCGAACTCCCGGGTTAGGGGTCTGACGAAGGGGCCCAGCACGTGCCAGAAGGCCATTTGCAGGTTGAATATCCAGGCCGTGGTGGTGGAGGACGTCCCGAGGTCCAGCAGGAAGCGGGAGAAGAGGATGCCGAAGCACACAGGCAGCGAGAAGATGAGTGTCTATTGGGAAAGCGAAAAGGAAGAGCTCGGTAATCTTTCAAAAAAAAAAATAATAATAATAATAAATAATAAATAGAAATAAGAAGTAAAAAAAAAAAAATAAA